AAATCTATTACAGTATCAACTGTATATGTATTTTGAGTAAAAAATTTAATTGGTTTAATTATGCATGTCGCCAAATCTTTTCTAATAGATCAATATTGTTTTCTTTTTTTTTATAAACTGTTGTACATGTAGCCTAACTGGCGCTTTATTTCTCAATGTTAATACATTACGTTGGCCTGATGTAGACACAAAAAAACTTTCAAAAGCTAAAAGTGGACACAGACTAAAGTAATACACATTTTAGTCAAACCATATCCAATTTAAATACAAAAGTGTCTATTAAAAATCATTTTCCGTTCTGCCTATACTCTAATGGTCGTTGCATTTACTACAAAATTAAATAAATTAAAGCATTCTTTTTAAATGGTCTTTTTGAAATAAAAAAAATACATATTACTATATTCCCTCTAGAATGTTTGATTTAGTTGTGGCTTTACCCACATAAACATTCCTGACATTCCTGAGTCCCTGAGTCCACCCAGCTCTGATGGATACCTGGCTTACATTAGGGAACTCAAGTTGGCTTTGTCTTTGGCACAAACAGGAAAATTAAATAATACTAGTTTTAAACAATTATGTAATATATTATCGATAACTAAGTTTTATAAAGTTGTAGATGTTTGTAATTGTGTATAATTGATTAGTATACATTTATTTTTATTTTCAGAACCGCCCAAAGCACTAGCGAACGTCTTTGATTTTAAGTCCATAAACTTAATGTAAAATGATCTATTTGTAATTTTAAGTCATTCACTTTGATGTTTATAAATATATTTTCTGTGGCGTTTAATGCTAATACAAAAATTTATCATTATCGTAAAAATGGGTTACAACGGCAATTTTTACTGAAAAGCATTATATGTTGTTTAGATTGTAGAATTTAGTTCGGCATTAATACAATTTTTAATAAATGTAAAATGTGCTTTGTTTATCGACACGACAATAAATCATTATAAAGGAATAGTTTTAGCATGGTATCATACATCTTTTAAACCATGTGCAGGCCTACATACGTACTGTTAAACTATTACTGATCTGTCGTTTAGTTCACCAAATATTTCACTTGCTGCCTATTTGGTGTTCATGTTATCTCCAAAAATAAAAATCTAGTAGGCTTTACGTGGACCTGAAGCAAACTGTATAAAGCCAATCTCTGGGCGAAAGTCAGAGTCAAACAACAATGGTCAAACTACTTGTGGTCACAGCACAGTGTATTCCATTTAGTGACTAACGGTTTATAAAAAAAAAATCATTTTACTAGCAGCATATCAGCAATGAGTGTTGAACTTGTTCTCAAATAAAATGTTATGTCTTCCTAAACTGTAGGAACAAAAAGTAACATTCGCCTTTGAAACCTGAATGATTTAAATATTTTGTTTCTTCATCTGCATTGGAAAAATGGAAAAAAAAAATAGGAAAAAAAGCGACTCGCAAACCCTTTCTTTTAAAAAAAAGTAAAAAAAAGTAAAGTTTCCCTTTCAAACCTGACGGTCTATGGGGCAAGTGAAGTAGAGTTCACTTGTTTCTGTGACCTCGGCATATGAAGAGATAGTGTGGTCAGCACTATGCCCAGCCGCCTTTACTTTCCCTAACGTGAGTTAGGTACCCATCAGAGTTGGGTGGACTCAGGGACGGTCTACTGTCAAGAACCCGGATTCGATCTCGAGACTAACGGGTTAGCAGTCCAGCTCTCTACCGCTAGACCACTCCGTCCTTTCTTTTAAGGTTTTATTTATATTTTTTAAATATTTTTTATGATCAGAGACTTTACTAGAAAGTGTAAAGTAGAAGCATTTAAGAGAAAACAACTTAAGTTAACGATACTTCGAGATTCAGGTTAGTCCGTGTATGTGCAAGGTGCCTCTTTATATATCACTGCACATGTGCAGTAAGTAGTGTGTCACCTTGGTCATCAGCTATCCACAGTTTTCGTGTAATAAAGTTAAGTTGCGTTTTAAAAGCGCAAAATAGAAAACATTGAAAACATTCAATGAAGTACCGGTGTTGGCATCAGATTATAAATTTAGATAATTACAATGCTACATCTTAATGAGTTAATAAATTTAGTGTTTTTAATTTGTACAAACTTTATAACAAAAAAATGAAATAATAAAAAATCATAAAAACACTACAATTTTTCTTTTGGAAATATAAAAAAAAATAAGGTTTTTTATTGTATATCTTATTAGAATATAATTGTCTATTTTTTTTTCCTTCTTAAGACAATTTAACATTTTTTATGGTAGCTTCCCATGACTTATTTACACAGTAATAATGGGAGGTAACTAACGCCGAGCATATTTCTTGTTTTGGACCTTAAGTAGCACTGGTATTTAACATGAGCGATATTGCGTAATTGTTGCAACAAAATCACATCTTATTATAGAAAAGATACCTAAGTACAAAAGTTTGCAAATAATGTTTTCTACGCTGACAAGACCTGAGACCTTTAATGTGTTATATAAAATAAAATATAAATGATGGGGGGGGGGGGGGTTGTGTTAGTTTTTAGCAGAGAAGCTACATAGCGCTTGATCAAGGGGGTGGGGGTGCTAGTTCTAGAGTAGAAGCTACTTAGTACTTGATCAAGGGGGTGGGGGCGTTAGTTCTAGAGTAGTAGCTACTTAGTACTCGATATTTTCGATATTTTATTGTATGTCTAATTAATATATTTTTGTCTTTTTTTTTTCCTTTTTAAGACAATTTTACATTTGTTAGGGTAGCATCCCTTGGATTCTTTTCACAGTTAGAATAGGAAGTACTTAGTACTCGATCAGTTTAGAGGGGGCTTGCTAGTGGAAGGGGGGGGGGGGGGGGAATTCAGGCAAATTTTAAGGGAGACATGGTAAAAAGCTTTGGTCAGACTTAGTTGTATGTCTGGAAATTTTACGTTTTTTTCCTGGTTGATGACTTTACTAAAATACTTTTATAGACTTTTGTGAACACATTTTATAGATATTTTCTCTATGTTTATGAATATATTAAATCCAAATACAGAGTGTTCGAAACAAGATACATAACATTATTAACACATATCTTGGAATTTTTTTTCTAAAAAAAGGTCGGCAGGGCAATTTATTGTCTAACATAGACATGTCTAGAAGGTAAAGGCAGGAACCCATGACATTAATGATCAGGAGGAAGTGGCGGTGGGTGGAGCACACATTTATAAAGTCTCACACACATGTGACATGACAGTCACTCGGGTGGAGCACACATTTAGAAAGTCTCACACACATGTGACATGACAGTCACTCGGGTGGAGCACACATTTAGAAAGTCTCACACACATGTCACATGTGACATGACAGTCACTCGGGTGGAGCACACATTTAGAAAGTCTCACACACATGTGACATGACAGTCACTCGGGTGGAGCACACATTTCGAAAGTCTCACACACATGTGACATGACAGTCACTCGGGTGGAGCACACATTTAGAAAGTCTCACACACATGTGACATGACAGTCACTCGGGTGGAGCACACATTTAGAAAGTCTCACACTCATGTGACATGACAGTCACTCGGGTGGAGCACACATTTAGAAAGTCTCACACACATGTGACATGACAGTCACTCGGGTGGAGCACACATTTCGAAAGTCTCACACACATGTGACATGACAGTCACTCGGGTGGAGCACACATTTAGAAAGTCTCACACACATGTGACATGACAGTCACTCGGGTGGAGCACACATTTAGAAAGTCTCACACACATGTGACATGACAGTCACTCGGGTGGAGCACACATTTAGAAAGTCTCACAAACATGTGACATGACAGTCACTCGGGTGGAGCACACATTTAGAAAGTCTCACACTCATGTGACATGACAGTCACTCGGGTGGAGCACACATTTAGAAAGTCTCACAAACATGTGACATGACAGTCACTCGTATGGAGCACACATTTAGAAAGTCTTACACACATGTGACATGACAGTCACTTGGGTGCCACGAACAAACTTAAACCAAAAACGAAACTATGTATTAAAATATGATGGTACAAAAGTATAAACATACCAAACAAAATAGATATTTCTTTATCAGTTTTTTTTTTGTTTCTTAAACCACTTTTTCATTAAAAATTAATAAAAATTAAACCTCTTAGATATTTTACAAATTATTGTTTAGACGTTTAAACTTAGACTATTAAAAATGTTAGATTAATTGTATTGCGGACATTATTAGAAACTCTAGATATTATTTTTTTGTGTGTGTATTGAACAAAGACTATGGAAGCAAATCCAGAAAGAAAAGCAGGCTGAAATCTGAGTTAATGAACTGTATGGTGCATAACCAGTTGACACTTATGCTTAACTGTGTTGGAGTGAATCCCTTCCCATACTAAACTTAAGAACGAAGATGAAGGATTGTATAACACCTTACAAGAGGGTAGGAAATATATTTTTTATAAGGGTGCTGAAGTAAAAAAAAAATGTTAGGATAAAGTGCGATATTGCTTTATTGTTTTAGAAGAGTTTAACATTAATAATAAACTACAATACCTTACCTATAATTGAATAATAAATACTGGGAGGAACTAAATATTCGCAACCCCCCCCCCCCCATCCCCCTCCCCACACACAAAAATGTAATTAACTTACATTTTAAACAAAAATTACTTTTTTTTTTTTTTTTTTTTTTTTTTTTTTTTTTTTTTTAAAGAAATAATTGGTGTTTTTAATGTATTTTTTTTGAACTGGTAACAACAAACATGATCTATTAAACATTTTTTTTTATTGTCTGGTTTAATAAAATTAAGTTCAAAACCTGCATGTTGTACAAAACTTCACTCACACAACAACCACTAAACTCTTTTTCAGACTGACCAATCATATTTTCTTTTCAAAATGTTTATGTCCTTATTTATGCTTCTAATGCTATTCAGATGCACTTTTTAAAATTAATCCATTGTTTGAAATTTAACTCAATCCGTCACATTTTACAATCCCAAGCTTTTTATTTTTTTTTATTAAATTGAAAGTTATTTCAAATCAAATATGTCAAATTTTGTTAAATAAAACAGATGAAAAAGGCTTTAACATCAAAGTTTATACTATCATTTCAAGTTCTCTGGCATATTCAATGGTTTGTGTAGCTAATATTTTGGCAGGGATGGTGTGATCAGCATCCTTAGCTTCATGAATAAAGTGAAAAAAGTCTTTCTCTAATCTCCATTTTCTCTGAGTAGCATATTCCTTCATTGGTTTTTGGGCTTCAAAGAAAAGCATTCTGGCAGCTTCATTAAGACCAATACGGTTGTATGCTTTTTCTATGCACCCTGCTATTTCATCTCTGATGGTGTTCAGTAAAATATCAATGAAGAAGTTATAGTTGTCTGCTGGAACATTTCCTCTGGCTAGAAAAACCTTATTGTAACTTCCCTCCATTAAATACTGTTCCATGCTTACTGGGTGTTTGATATAAATGTTATTCTGAATCTCCTTTACAGGTAACCGTTCCAGTTCAGTGTGAAATTCTGCTAATCGATTTTGAGAAAGTAGACACAAAAGGTTCAGTCCTAAAAGCTGGTATTTGAATGCAGACTCTGGAAGGTCATCCTTGTAATCCATATAATAGCATTTTAATTGGACCATGTATCTTTCAAATGCTGGAATATCCTTTTTAGCAATAGCCCATTGTGCTCCAATTTCAAGTATATCTCGAGCAATTAGCAATTCTTGCTTAGTCACTGACGCCTCTGTTGTTGGTATAAATGCAACTTGGGTGAGTGACAACTTGAGTCTGGAAAGAAGTTCTCCAGACTTTTCTAAATTTTGTGGCTTACTATCCCATATACGTTTTAAATTTTGATACAACGCAACAATTTCTTTCATCGTAGCGGTAGCCATTTTTGTTTATTAAACAAAAATTACCAAATCTATTCTGAAAATGAGCAAAGGAGATGACTCAGTGCTTAATCTGAATTATCATGCGTAGATAAATTACGCAGTTGGTATAGCTAATGTGTTCATTTAAAATCAAAATAGACCACAACAAATTACCATTTTAACAGACATAAAATGAATTCTACTTCGCAATAACAGACAATATCCATTTAAAAAACAATATAAAAGCATTTACATTTATCATGCAAGTGTCTCACCATACATAAACAGTTCACCATTATTTTTTTGTGTGTACATGTTGCATCCCTTGAAAACAAAGATTTGTTGTAATGGGAAGTAACTAGGTAAAAGTAATGGTCGACATGTTGCAGTTCTCAGGGTGTATGTTACAAACCTTTTCTCGTTAAAGTGGACAAAAAAACAACATGGTGCTAACATACTTCGAAAACACTTCTAGGGTCGTCATATCCGTATCGTTAATTAAACTACAGAAATGCATTGTTTACATTTGGGGCATTGAGTCTAATACAGAGATTGGTGTAGGTTTCCAAGATGGTCTGCATTTGGACTTGACCACATAAAAAATAAGTCAATGTCATTGGAAAGTGTCGTTACAGCTGAGAAGCGATACATAAACCTAAACTAAAAAGTAGAACATTCTTATCAGAGATCTGAAGTCAGATACACTGGCATAACTGCGTGCTATTGCTGATCCTTTATTTAGTTAAACATAATTTTATTAAACATTTAACTATAATTTGCGTAAAATTATGATTTGATGTTACCATGTGTAGTTTAAAGTAGATCTTAACGAATATTATTTTTAATTATTTTTTTCCATATATTGTGCTATTAATAATAAAATTAGTTGGTTTTATGTGGATTTAATGGTCGCATGAAAAAAACAACTGACAAATTATTAAATGAAACATGAAAAGAACAAAAACAAACGGTATCTTTGTTAATATATATTTTTTTTTTATTTGAACGTATATAGATGTGTTTAATTTTTATTTTACCTAATGCTTTAACTTTAAAAAAAAAAAGTTACCTCAATACTGAACACAGTGTTGGTATAAAGGAAATCAAATAAAAGTATTTTACCCGAACAGCAAAGTGAAAAAAAAAGCATATCTGTTTGCGAAAGCCAAAGTTAAACACACAACGGTCAAATCACTTGTGGACAAAGCACAGTGTATCCCATACAGTGACCATTGGTTTTATAAAAATATCATTTCACGTGCAGATATTAAACATGCTCTGTAAATAAAGGTTACTTAAATAGTTTCTTTAAACTATTCAAGTTTTCCTAAATAATAGAAAACAAATTTTAAAAATCGCACTCGAACACTAAATTAAGGGCACCTGATTTTTTAACATCTTGTTTTGTGCCTCACAAAACCCGATCCTTTAACTATAATGTGTTCTGGGATCAGAAACCTTACAAGAAAGAGATAATTGGCAGGAATAAAAAAAGGAAACATATTAAATGAAACAATAAATCGAGATTTAGATTTGTGCATATAGGCCTAAAGGGTCATCCATAAATGAGGGGAGAGAAGCAAGATTTAGAACTTTAAATAAGTAAATGAATAGATATTAGAATTTGATGTTGAATGGGGTCGTTTGAACAGTTAAAGAGAATGTGGGGTTATCATGTCTGAGGGTGAAGTGGACAGACGGGGGGGGGGGGGGGGCTAGATGTGTCTGATGAGACGTGGAGAGGGTTCTGTGTGTGTTTAAGGCAAGCCAAGCGTCAAATTCTGTGCTGTGTCATCTAAGTGTTACTATTTATAGTGTGTGTGGGTGGGGGGAGGGTTTGACGAACATATTGCTGTGTGAGCGATTTAGTGGGAGGGTGAAAGGTTACTATGTTCAAATCGGTGTTTATGTTTATTTGAATGTTTGGTACCGACAGGTTAGGAGTAGGTAGGCGTGTAACTATCATGGGGTGTGGGGATACAGTGGAGTTTTAAAGGTAAAAAAAAATGGTGAACAGTGTTATCGTAAAAGAGTTCAAATAAGGCCTTACATGTTATTAAAGTTAACAAAACAACTGTAAGTATTAATTTATGGATAATAACATGAATACACAAGGATGAGGGGGTCATTGGTGTGATTATGTACATTGTGGATCAAACTACCGTACATATATGATAATAGTAAAATAGTGTCTAATGATGACTTTACAATGTTTGTTTGTAAACAATATAAATAAAACAACACTAATAAGCAACAATAGGAAACTGAATGACAAACGATAAATGATGCAAAATAAGGTGGGGGTTGGAGTCAAATTAATGTTGTTAGACATGTATTTGGATAATACATCATCTTCAGTGTAATATTAATAAAATATTAAAGAAAAATGAGTTCCAGGTTAATCATGGCAGAACAGCGATGATTTATTTCAATTATAAGGAGTCTATAAGTTGCGCACTTATTATATATACTGTGTCCAATTAAAAGTAAAATGGAGCACATAAATTTAGTTTTTTAACAGACATCAAATTAATTCCAATCCTAAATAAAAAATATTTTTATTTAGAAATAAAATGATAACATTTACAATTATAATTCAAGTGTTTCACTTATCATAAATAATTAACCGTTATTTATTTTTTATAGGTTGTATTCCTTGAACACAATGATTTATTGTAATGGGAAGTAACTCAGCAAAATTAATGGTCGACCTGTTCCAGTGCTCGGGGTGTATGTTAAACAACTTGGCTCGTTAAAGTATAAGAAAACAAGTTAATTAAAAAGTCTAGTGACAATTTTAGCGCAATTTCCTTATGTTATCTAAAAATAGCTCTGTCGTAGCGTAAATCAAGAGCAGGGTTAGTAAAACCATTGGTTAGTTATTAAAACGTTTTTTATTTAAAAAAAATTTCAGTATTTTACATGTTTTATTTACAATAGAGTTACATGACTAAAAACCATTGCGCGCCTAGCTACTGAACGTGATGACGAAGCCATAGAACGTGATGGTGCAGCTATTGAACGTGATGACGCGTGTGGTGTGGTTGGAAAAAATGCCTACTAATTCGGTCCAAATTTTAATTAATTCAAAAAATTTTTTGTGACCGAACGAAAGGATATTTTTGAAAACTTTCTTCGGCAATATTGTTCTAAATTATGGCAGGAATCGATTGGTACATGTTTCAAGTCGCTAAGTGGTCTGGTTGCCGAGATATGGGCTAAAAACTGCTTTTTTTCGAGGTTTTTTGGCTTTTCCGGGAAATCCATGAAAGAAACCCGGAATTTTTATAGCCTATGTTCATCCTCGTAACTTTCTTAACATAATTGCTTTTGGAACTAGTCATCGATATTGCTTCGTTGAGGAGGAGATACGACTTAAAGCTGCGGACACACATCCATCCATTCATTCATTCATACATTCATACATCCAGAAATGACGGGTTAATAAACGCAATTCTCCAGAATGGAAATTGCGCTAAAAATAACAAATTGAGTCAAATACATACGATTGGTGAAGGTTAAACTTCTATGAACAGAATCACAATTTACTGTCTATTCTACATTGTAGTCACCCAACAATGTGATGTTTCCAAGATGGTCTTCATATGGACTGGACAGCATAAAACATAAGTCAATGTCACTGTCGTTACAGCTGAGAAGCGATACAGAAATCTAAACTAACAAGCAGAACGTTTATATCAGAGATCTGGTAAATCAGATGCACTGGCATAACTGTGTGCTATTGTTGATCCTTTATTTAGTTAAACATAATTTTATCGATCATTTAACTATAATTTGCGTACAATTATGATTTTATTTTATCATGTGTAGTTTAAAGTAGATCTTTAAAGCCTTCATTAAAAAAAAGTTCTATTTGTTTTCCAATAGTGTGTTATTAATAATAAATCTAGTAGGTAAGGACACCGAGTATATCACACCCACATTTAGAAGGACAATGCAGGAGACCATGGCATTACAGATAAGAAGTAGCTGGCAAATGGCTCACACAAATGTGACACGACAGGCACTTGAATGGAACCCATAGGGAAATCCAACGAGAGAGCGCTAAAACATACCTGTAGTCGGAGTATTGTTAAAGAACACAAGACCACATGGATGTCTTGGAAGATGGTAAAATACACAGCCGGTGTCCGGACAAAGTGGAGGTTTATGGCTGACTTTCTAATCAGATATTCTACAGAAGGAGTAAAGGTGATTAATAAGTAACGTAAATTAAGTCATATTCAATTCAACTTCATATTTTCACGTCTATTTACCCTTTGTTTACCAACGCTGTTCTTACCTTATCAAAATCCAATAACTAAGCAGGCGTCAAATTATTGTGTTGATTATATTTCAATATCAGATTTTAATCCTAAATAAATTATTGGCAAACATGAGCAGGTATGTTTTTTTATTAACATTCTCCAAAGTAAAAACAAGATAAATATGTATAGGTATAATTGGTCACAGATGCTTAAAATAATTAATGTTTGAACTATATTATTTCAATTACTGTTTTTTTTTTCTGTTTATATATAGTCATCAGCCCAATAGAAACAATACAATTCAGAAAATAAAACATTACATACGTATATAAGTATGTGTGACAGTTCGTTTATTAAACCGGGTATGTTTTATTATAGCACTGACCCTGAACCATCGTTATACACTAGTAAAATTAATTGTGTAAGTTTTATAATTCATTTCGAAAATATACAATATTATGTTAAGTATTGAAATGAGCCAAAAGTAACTATGTTTAGAAGTTAGGACAAAGTCGAGCTGAACCTAAGAAATACAACCAATCAAATAGCCCGACCTATTAAAAACGAACCGACCGTGGTCACGTGTGACGGTCAGCTGATCAATCAAAGCGTTAGGGCAGTTGGTGGTTCGAAAGTGTAGTTAGACATTATAGTTTTAGGTGATTGTCAGTTGAGTTCGAATGTGGGACGTAGATTTGCTAGATTTGAGTATAAATAGTAAATATTTTATACTAATAGAAAGTCATAGTCAGTCA